AGTGATGTCACATTCATTATATTACACCTTTGGCCCAAAGTATACTAGATACTTTCCTGCCCTAATGCCAAGAATCTGCACACTTGAATATGGTTTTGCCGTTTGAATGTCTATGTCTGGTACCTAAATTGCTGGTGCGTCCAAAAGGAGTGGCTTCCTGCCCTCGATTGTCTAACTAGATCCAATCGTCGCCAGCTGCTCGCTTCTTTGATGTCTATCCAAATTCTGGATATGAATTTTGCTTTTCACCCCTGCAAAGGTTATACTTTGTTTTTGATCTCCAGACGCGACGGATAACTGACATTTGTTGTTTGGAAAAGTAATTTACATTCCTAACCCGTGGTAAATACGCTCAGATAAATATCGTGTAACGGCTAAAGAACGACAATCCAGAATTTTGCATGATTGACTTGTCAACCGTTTTTTATAAATAGTAAGATGATATAGTAATCGTCCTTAAACCCCTTCCTAGAGGTTTTTGGGAAAAACCTACCTTTATAGACACAATATCAAGACTCTTTAGATACAACTATTTTACACTGCACTGATCAACTAAAACAAAAAAGAGAGTTTTGAAGGTGAGCATTTTCTGCATTCTTTTCGCTCGTTTTTAGGCAAGGAAAATATAATTTAGGGAACCCATGTTTTGGGCAAGGAGAGACATACAACACTTATTATCATGATGCAGTAATAACATATATGTTATACAATTCTCGGTTTATTGATTGTCATTATTACTGTATTGTGGACAAATAAAGTGTGCCATGTAGGGACATTCCATTAACCGCACAATTAGTCTGATGCCGTAAATGCAATGCCCTGAACTGCCGCTGTGCACATACTCTTTAATAAGAATTAAATGTGCAGTAAGGGTTACAGTTGGCCGTATGACGCTTGTGAATGGTCATGGAGTTATTGGGTATAAATGTGGTACGCAATAATTGCGTTGTTGCTGATGTGACAACAAGAAATCGCTCCCCATCATGGAGGGTGGTGGTGACAGAGTTCATGTAGTTGGAATGAATCCAGTTTGTACGTTCAATACCAGCCGTGTAATTACAATACAACCTCGAGAGATGGTTGGAAAACTGATATCAGGTCCAGTTCTGACACTTCTGACTTCTGGAGCAACACTATACTCTGATGATCTGAGGCCGATAGCGATAGTACTCACCGCCTTCAACGCCTGGGCTTTACATTTTAATGACAATATTCAATTGCCACAGTTAACTTCTGCCTACACTATGCAATGTTATGTGGACAGGTTTATTGAAAGTCATTAATACTTGCCCCCATCTACATCACCGACCTCCTTCAGGAGTACACCCCCTCCCGCATCCTCCGCTCTTCGTCCGTAGGACTTCTCACCGTCCCAAGCTATCGCCTCAAAACCATGGGTGCTCGAGCTTTCAGCTGCTCGGCTCCCAGACTCTGGAACTCCCTGCCACTACACACCGACAGTCTGATTCCATAACAACATTCAAAACCCAACCCAAAACCCACCTGTTCAAACTGGCATTTTCTTTATAATCTGTAACCTGTGTCCTTTTGTGTCCTTTTGTAGTCAATTTCCTGTTGTTTGTCTTGTCTTACCCCGGCTGATACTTCACTAAATCCACTGTTTTAATTCCTGTTTTAAATTGTTCCCTATATTGCCCCTATGCCCTGTAAGGTGTCCTTGGGTGTTATGAAAGGCTCCCCCCAAAATAAATGTATTATTATTATTATTATTAATATGATAAAAAATTCTCCATCTGTACATTAAGAAATTGGCTGTTGGTAGTTTCATTCAGCTGATTCCAATCATGTATTGATTCATCAGCTGACTTTTAACAGCAAATCACATTCAAGCAGATGTAAAGTGCAGCCTTTATAACACTCCTGACACCTCTCGGTTATTTAAATACACTTCTGCCAACTCGCTACACCACACCTATCTCTTCCTTATGTGTTACTTTTTAATATTTTTAATTTAATTTAGAAAAAGTATTTATTCATCTTTGAATTAGCAAGGGGTTAGTTGTTCCATCAGAGTTTATATTTGCTGCTCAGACTCCCAAGAGAGCTCCAAATACAGAGTTATATATTTATCAAAATATAACTGGCTTACTACTTGTTATAAAATCAAATCTATGATGTTTGTGCCTCTGAGTGAAAAAAGAGACCAGCTCAGACCAGTTCTTTTTAGTAATCCTCCTTTATGTTGTCCATCTATCTCAATCTTTATTTATTAGTAGGCATACTTTGCTGCGAACCGTGGTGGAAGGCATGACAATACGAAATGGTGTTCTGCAATAAAGCTTATGGATGAATGATAATGTGGATAAACCAGCAGAGACATTTTGGAAGTTTTTGATACTTTTCTTTGTGAATTCTGTGTGTTTGTTACCTTTAACTAAAGAATTACAATTGCAGCCAACAAACTAAACGATGTAAGGAGATACATGTTTTTTTCTAAATCATGTTGTATAGAGTTTTACCTTAAAAAGCCAAAGTGGTTATATAACATATTTTATAAGCGAGTGATTTTTACAGTGTGGATGTGGTTTGACCTGCATATATTTTGAGGACCGATGTGGCTGAGGATATGTATATATAGGATGTCTCACTTTATTTAATAAAGACCATATTTGATTCACCCATGTCATGAATTTCTGAATTCCTTCCACATGACTTTGTGCAGTGACTCGGGGAGAATGTGATGATGTGTGCTCAAATGTAAACACATGTTAAATCAGCGTGAGATGAGGCATGTAAAAGTAGTATCAGAGGGAAGACATGCTGGATGCTTTACATATTGGTTCCTGTCAGTAAAACAGAAAAGATATTGAATAGTACAGATCATCTATAGGTCATATGCATATTGCACTATGGTTCGTGTCATGAGTGATCCTGCCTCTAGATGTCAGACTGTGTTTTAAAACCAGGACATCTGTGTCACTGCTGCTTCCACTGGATTTAATTAACAGTCATGTAACATGAAAGACTTCAAAGTAACCAAATGTGACATTTTTCTTCTTGAAATAATTATGTTTTTTTTTTTATGACATATGATCACATTATGTTTTCTGCATTCCATGTTATAAAAACATTAATTTGACTAAGTTATTATAGACTTATAAAATCTAATTAGTCACAGATGAAACTCATGTGATTACATCAGGTATTTGACGTCATATGTTTAATACATTTTCATATATTTAATAGGTCAAATGATTATTGAGAAAACAATTGTCGGATTAAGCTATAAAAGGACATTGTTAGTAGCGCTGAAACGTAATCATTAACAGTTTTGGTCAAAAACTTTCATTGTTGGCAATAAAAATAACACATTTCTCAGGAATATGTTTGCGTTCCGCTAAAATAGAGACAACAGGCCTCGGGTTGGAGCAGATGAGGCTCCTTATAAACCCAAACCGGCACAAACACACACTTGGACATGCACACTCTCGTCTCGATGCTGATGGCTGCAGTGATTAAATTGCTGACCCCTGCTGCCTCAGATGGTGCGATCTCCTCCCGTCATGTGTTGGAGCTCTCTCTCATGCAACAGGTCAGATTAGTGCTGCGCTCCATTGATCTATCTGAACATCATACATTTGAATTTCAGGAATGTTCAGACAAACCTCCACACATTGTGGTATTTACGGATCTCTGCTGACCTGCAGCACTTCACCTCTGCCTCCACCTAACTTGGCTCTCCTCTCTGACGTGCGGGGACCCGAAGCTAACGTCAGTCCTGTTTGCAATTACTCACAGTGCCCTTATGCTGTCTGGGAAGAATGAAAAGGATTGACGTCTTTCTGGCCATCTGCCGCCCTCCGATTCCTCTCCCGTCCCTCACTCTGCCTCGCCCATCTCTAACTCTTCTTTGAGAGGATTAAGTGTGTTAGTATCTCTGTGTGTCTTTGTCTCATTAACATGTACTGTAAGCGCAGCTCCGTGTGTAATGTGTGCATGTGTGCATGTGTGCATGTGTGTCTGTTGCAACTTTCCCATCCAATAATATATTGTCAGCAGGATTGTTCCTGCGTCTTAGTCACCAAACACTGACGTGTGTCCCCTTTCGAATATAAATCCCTCCGCAGATTGAACAAAGTTACTTAAGCAGAAGAGAAAAACACAAAGGAATTGCAGTAATTTTAAATAAATCTCGAGGATTTTATTACCTACAATATACACACGAGCTGGACCTGTGAATCTGAGTTAAGACTCAAGGATGGTGGGAGGCAGTTGATGAATTTAAAATGAAAATGAGATGCTCAGTGGGGAGGAAGAGACTGATGACGTTATTTTACAGCGATTAAGAATAATGAAACAAGATTAAAACTAGTCAATTCAAATAACAACAAAATCCAAACAGCATCTTGCCTATTACTCGTCATTTCAGAGACCAGACCACAACAATAAAAATACAATATTAACATCAAGGTAATGGGTGATGTGCAAGAAGAGCACCAAGGAAGAAAATGCAAGAAGGTAAAGATTTATAAAAATAATGTCTGCTGGTTTTATATCTCTTTAGATGAACCAGTTGGTATTATCGAGGTAATTTAAAGAAATAATTAGACATTTCCTCTCTCGTGTCTGTATGATAAATATGAAACTACAGCCAGCAGTTAAAATAGAGGAGAAAAGCCTTGCTTTGTCCAGGGGTGACAAAATCAGCCTACTACCATATATTAAGCTCACCAACTAACACGTCACATCTGGTTTGTTTAATCCAGTGTAATATTTTTACATTTCTACCACAAAATGTTTGATCTATTTCTTCTATGGAACCCATTGACGCCAAACCAGTTTGTAACAGTCGTATCCTTCTTTATGGACTAAACAAACAAGATTTGGCATGAAACATAGTGAGTTTAAGAGATGTTGGTAGGTGGGTTTTGCTACAGAGATTAGGAAAAAAGACAGTGTTTTTCTCAAAATGTAAAACTATTCCTTTGATTTAAATAATTTCCACTTCTGCCAGGAAAATAAAAGTTGAAGAGAAAGATGGTAAAAGATGAACTACTGTAAAAACTCACTGATGTGCGTTAAAGGCTGGTAACACCGGGACACTCTTCTAGTCGAGAGCAGATTTTTTTCTCCTATCAAGCGCATTTAAGGAAGTTCAGACAAACAGGAGCATTTTAAGTTTGCTTATGAGATGACAAATCAAGACAGGAATGGAGACACAAGTAAAAGGGAAACAACTCTCAATTTAAACTCAAATTTGCTAAAGTGCAAAAGTCTCAGACCTGGTTTTATGGGCCTTCTCAACATTTTAATATCTATCTGTTTTAAGCTCAAAGGGAGCTTGTCGATAACTTATCCAAGAGTTCTGCTAATGAAGAGCAGAGAACTCAAAATACATCTAAGAAGTAGCAATGTAACCAGCCAGAAGTCTACTGTCCAGTCATAAAACAGAAACTAATTGATGGGGGGGGCTTTGTGGAAGTAAAAATCCAATCATGGCAGGTCGCTGGTCGGCATGGCGTGCCTCCGGTCATAAGCAGTGTCATCGCTCTCCTCGCCGTCGCTCACTTCACCCAAAACCCTCTCTCTCTCCTCGTCCTCTTCGGTTTCACTCTCTCGCCTCAAGCGATCCCGTTCCCTCTCTCTGTAGGTCCGATGCATTGTGGGAACCTGAGAGGGCAAAGAGACACAATGAGATCATGTAGACTCTACTGAGTGAAAAGTGAATTTTATACATGTGCTAAGTGTTAAAGAAATACAACACGGTCTGGACAGATTTAATAACAGAAAAATACATCTTCCTTTTATCTCTGGTAGATTGCTGACTGGTGCTCCATGCTAAAACGTACCATGTTACCAATGTTAAGCAATAATACTCTAATATTTGAACAAACTATCTACAAATATCTACCTGAAATCAAAATGTTAAACTTCCTGTCTTCTAGATTACCCCTTTTTAAAGATATATACTTGATATAGCTTAATTTGTTTATGGGAGTGAACACATGAAGCTATATCAAGTTATCTTGACTTAGAAACCATCCATCCATTATTTTATAATTGACCTAGTTAGCTAAATTAACAGTCTGACGTAATTAAGGTAAATATCTTAAATAATACGCCTGACTGCAAACAATTGATTATTTTCATAATCAACCGAATTTGCAGATGATTTTCTCGTTTAATCATTTGCTCTTTAGTGTTGATGTTAAGTGTTGAACTACTTATTAACACTGCAACATAATAATAACCTACATACAGTACAGATGAGGACATGTGGTGATTTGTGTGAGTTTAATGCATGTTCTTCAACTAAGGCCAAAATCCAGAAAAGGCTAATTTAAATAATCAAATTATAATTAAATCACAGATGAACATATACTCTGCAGCATTAAAAACAGTAGCAGTTTGTTGGTAGTTACCTGGTTGTCATGGCTGGGCAGGGCGCAGTAGCCCGCCTCCGTCCTGCGGGGAAGGCGTGGTGAATGAGTACGGAAAGGTCGGGGGGAGTGGGAGCAGACGGAGCGTGGAGAGGGAGAGCGGATGGAGCGCGGGGACGGAGATCGGACAGAACGGGAAGGTGAGTAATTCATGGGCTGGGACTGGGACAGAGCGGGGCCGTGGTTGTTTTGTTTGGGAGGGCGAGGGGAGCGAGGGGGCAGATTGGGCGGCTTGAAAGGGTCGATCAGGTCAATCTCTGTAAGGATCGGTGGAGGAGGGATGAAATCGAGCTCCTCCTCTGGATGGAGCAGTAGCATTTCTGCTGCGTCAATTTCGGCGAGCTCCGCCTTGGACAAGTGGTCCACGATCCCCGCGCCAATCGAATCGCCCACCACATTGATGGAGGTACGCAATCTGTCACTGGGTAGATGAACAGTAACATTGTCAGCGGGGGGGGAAAGCAGAGAGCCACCATAGGCTGAATAGCCAAAACCCTTTAACATCTCTCACAAATGCTACTAACTAAACCTGAAATAGCACTGAAGCAGAGCTGTCATTTCTCCTGTTATTGACACACGCTTATACACCCCCAACATTTCCGAACACCTGACTCACAGCAGCCAGTCGACAGCAATGAGCAGACTAATATCCTGAGTCGGCAGCCCCACAGCGGTCAGGATCAGCAGCATGGTAACCAGCCCAGCACTGGGAATACTGGCAGCCCCCACACTGGCCAGGGTGGCAGTCATACTGGGGAGGGAGAAGAAGAAAAAAAAATGGGTGGTTTAGTCGTTAAATTGACCAACATTTTTTGATTCAGATGCTGAGCTGGAGCACACCACAGAGAATGCAGGAAACCAACATGCGTGCAGTTGTTCTGTGTCTGCGTGACAGGAAATTATTGGTTACTCATCATCCTTTTTAGTGTGTAGTAAAACAAATTCTAAAGCAGGCATTGCGACAGGAGCAAACCAGAACAACATTTTCCGCCCATGGTGAAGCTGTTGAATCAAAAATGCCAGACTTTGTGCTGGAAATCATTTATTCTGTAATTGCTTTTCAGCAACTTCCTTCACTGCTGACTCAATACTGTATGCCGAGTCAGCTGAATGTCTGCCAATACACACAATTACTCCAATTAACCCAGTGTGTCAGAGCCCTGAAGGGATCTGAGAGGTGACTACTGTAAATCCTCAGGCTGATTCGTGTGCTGTGCTCTCTAGTGAGGCTGTCCTCTGAACACAGTCACTGACAGTGAAAGTCACTAACACATCTGTGTCAACAGAGGATTTGTTTATGTGGATGTTTTTCGTCTGAAAACACAAGCGTAAGAATTGGTGTCAACAGCAAATCCTTTGCTAGCAAGATGTAAAAGTGTTATGTAGTTCCTAAACTCTGCTGACATTATGTGTTATGGTATTAATCATCAAACTAGCAATCCATGATGTGTTGCAAATTCATTTCATGTTTCATAGTTTTGTGTATTTATCTTATGCCGATAACCGCACAGCCCAGTTGTTGTGGTGTTGATCATTTACAACTTAAAAGAAGCACAAATGGAACTAAATTGATGTGAGAAAAAAAATGTCAGCTTAAAAAACCTTATTTAAATAGAATCGACAATCATATATTCAGAACTTTGGAGATTCTACAGGATATCCTTCTTGTATTCTTCTTAGAAAAAGCGGTTGAAAAGCACAATCCTTTTATTCATTGTAGTATTATTGTTTTAAAAGAGACATGCCAGTGCAGTTATAATCTATAGGATTGTTAAAGGGTCAAATAGATTTAGTAAAAGGTTACTTTAACATTATAGTAGATATTTTTCAACGTTCTCCATTACATACAGAATGTGAGTTGTTTCATATTTTGTCAAAATTAAAACATTTCAATCTGAAATGTCCAATTTCAGGTTTGGCACAGTGTGTAATGTGTGGTTTAATCTTGTGGTTATGTTGGTCATACAGCTCAAACCCGGTATTCAAATGTGTTAATTTGATTACATCGTTCCTGCAATGCTTGGATGAAAGCAGGATCTGAATAAGAAAGAGGGTGATTACCAAAAACACACGTCTTCATGTTTCCTCACTTTTTACATGTTTTAATCAAAGAAAAGAAGAAGAATGCTGCATGTTGTGACATGTTTGCAATTAGAGGAATTATGAGTTCACGTTGGCCCCAGATGTGACTGCAGGCCTGTTTGGACTCGGCTCCAAACCGCGACGTGTATTGCATCTTCATTTGTGCTCTGCCTTACATCTTAATGCTGTATGACAAACCGTGCTAATTAACATCGCGTTTTAGAGACAGAAGATTTATAATATACCACCACTGATGAAACAAAATTCCTTCAAATAAAATCATTTTGGAATTTGGTTGTTCTAAGAGCTAGGCATCATTTATAGACCCCTACCGCAAAAAGTCTGGTTCCAATCAGACATAAATGTTTTGCTGAAACCTCAAAAATGGGAATTTCTTACTTTCTTACTGCTTTAGTCTGAAGCTGTCTTCCATCCCTGCATTGTTAGATTAATTACAATGTCTCAAACTGGTGCAAGTCATATGAAAATGTGTTGGGGATTTTGTTTAAACAGGAATGTTGCAATGAAACTTGGATTTACACATCTTGTTGCCCTTTCAAATCAACAGAATTAACCATCAGAACTTCAAATTGTCCTAAACTACTAAAATAAACCCTTTCAATCATCACTTATTACTCACTAGAAATATGGACCTGTCTGTGCATCTACCTGGACCTCTGCCCATATTATGTTACTTTACTATGTTCAGGACATTTATGGGCCTCAACCCCTGGAAAAACGAAGTGACCAGCAGCGAGATCCAGAGCCGGGGGCCGGAGTCACATGACTTGACTCGAATCAGACTCAACGTCCTAAATTTGATGACTTTAGACTCGACTTAACAAAATGAATAAAAACTTCGAACTGGACTTGTATGATAACGCCAATGCATTATGTATCTTTATACACATTCACTTGTAATAGTTAAATACATATAATGTTTGTTTTGAAAAGAAAAGAAAATCCTGTTGTTAACCTGACCAGAGCACTGTTGTTGACATGAATGGATGTAAAGATTTCTGTGGCTGAAAAATCTTTGGTCATCCAGAAATATCTTTTTGCTTTTTGTTGCTTTGCTTTGATGTTTCCCATAGAGACTTTAGAATTTGACATTGGAGGTTTTTAAATTCATATCCTGTATTTATATTACGCTTTGAAACTTAAAAACTGAAACACTGATCCATGCTTGTCCTGAAAACTTAAATAAACAGAAGTTTAAATAAAACGAAGTTCCTAGTCAAAACGAAAACAACATAAGGCATGTGTGTGAAGGACATCCAACATGTGTCTCACCTGACAGTGATGATCTGTCCCGTATCCAGAGAGATGTCATTCATCTGGGCAATAAAGATGGCTGCCACAGCCTCATACAGCGCAGTGCCGTCCATGTTAATGGTGGCGCCGATGGGCAGCACAAAACGAGTCACACGCTTGTCAATCTTCAGATTTTCCTCCAGGCAGCGGAAGGTGACGGGTAACGTTCCCGCACTGAGAGAAGAAGGCCACACAAGATGCCAAGTTAGAAAAAAAAAGGTGCAGATGTACAAAGAACAGGAGCAGAGTGTCTGCTTAAGGATATCAAATATGTAGACAGGTGGTGACAGAAGTGCAGAGGTGAGGAGGGAGGTGAGGGGGTGAAGTTAGGGTAGAGACACAAGGTGGAAATATGAGTGGGCTGACAGCCTCCTCCTAACAGCTGGTGCCAGCCACTGTTGCAGTCCTGCGACATGCGAATTAAAGGAATTTGATTCCTGTCCCTGCTAGGCTCGGGTCATAATATCATTACAGAAAACGTTGATAGGATTATCCATATTCACTAGAGCCTCAGTAATGTGCCAAAATGACAGTTGGTTCAGCAGCGTTCAGACTCCCAGGCAGGCCGAGCCAAGCCAAGCCAGGCAGGATACAGCGGGGCCAGTTTAGCTGGTGAGGACTAATCCGAAGGCTTAGACATTTACAACACAGAATCTGTCTGATATGGAGTTGTCTATGATAGCCTGTGCTTACACACATGTATCTGTCCTGGTTTGTCTGTGTAAATACAACGTTTTGCCTTCAGCCATTTCAGATTCAACCCAAATAGCTGAAAGCGAGTTGCAGGCTAGGCCATTCATTCACAGAAAAAGTACGGCAGCTGTCCAGGAAAAGATGTTGTAAAAGAAATATGTGACACATATGTCGCTAACACATGCACAAACAGAGAACTTCCTCACAGACAAACGCACGCTTGCTGCAGGATGTCCTACCTGCTGGCAGTGCCCAGAGCTGTGATCCAAGCCTGGAAGATTCCAGAGTAGAAAGTGATGGGGCTTTTTCTAGTGATAGTGAAGAATATAGCAGGTAGGATCAAGCCGCCGTGGATCAACAGGCCGACGATGACGGTCACCATATACATGCCCAGCTGCCTGGCAACCATCTCCAGGTCTCCGATGGCCGCAATCTTCCCCGCAATCAGGGAGGCAATGCCGAAAGGAGAGTACCTAAACACAAGTGAAGAAAACACACCAGAGCTGAAATGATTGACGTTTTGTTATGATTGATGTTGTATTATTTGTAAGGCTGACTGCTAATTTAGCATCCTTACTTTACAAAATAATACTTATGTTTTCTCTTCTTCTTTTTTTTTTTAAACGAGTTTAACCATTTTATTACTTTTTGAAGACTCAATATAAAAAAAAAACATGTTGCCTGGCACATGCAATTTATTTATTTATTAACCCCGTTGAAGTTTAACCCCCCAAGTAAATCCATTGGTCATATGGTCAGATGTCTGAATGTAGAGACAACACTTGATGCATCTTTATTCACTGTCAAAGGAACACTTTTAACTTTGGAAACACTTGACACAGTTGTTCCCCTTCCTGACTCCAGAACGCAGTGGGATGTTTGAATAAAGCGGAGTTCCCCTTTAAGTCAATAGAGGTCCCATCCCGACAGCGGCCTGCTCTCCCCCAGGTCAGCTGCGTGCTGAACCCCGAGCCTGGCATTCAGTGACAGTTGTTTGGGGGAGTATGCCGTGTATAGATTTGATGGATGTGTTCCTTGTATGATACGTGTTTTTGTATACACTGGACTCTGTGTTTGGCAAGCTCCATAGGCTTGTGAGTAATCTGTTTATACTACGTGAGTGATACGAACAAGGACACAATTCCTTTGGTGTCCAGCTGCACATGTAAATGGCCTAGGAGAGCTGCAACACAAGCATCCTGCTGTTTCTCTTCCAACCGCCTACCCTGCTCCCCCTCTCCCTCCCCGGCGCTGAGTGCCACTAAGCTCTCTATCTGAGTGTCCTGTGAAGCGTCAAGGCGAGCACTGCTCTCAGAAGACATGCTCTAACATGCATCCTTCCTCGTCCAGCCGCCCCTCCCACCCTCAGCTCTGCTGCCAAGTGGCTCCTCTGCCGACGGTGGATCCATTACAGTTTGGAGATCTTCCACCCCGTCTCCCCTGGGAGCCCACAACATTGTTCCGGGCCCCGGCTCCTGCTACTCCCCAGCATACCATGGACTACAGCATGTGCCAATGAAGACTTCTCTTTCTTTCTGGCTGTCCATCTGTCCGTGTCCTTCACTAACACCCTTCTCCTTTTTCTCTTCCTTTTTCTTTTCTTCTGACTTAAATATCTGACACTTCTTCTCGTTCCAACGATATGTTTCGTGTATGCGTTATCCATCACTGTCACTGACCTCTGTGTGTGGTATTTCCAGAATGTCAAAGCAACGCAGCCGTTGGCCCTCATTAACGAAAACAGAGACACATGTTGTGCATGCTTGCATTAGGGCGCACACAAACACACACAGGGGGGGAGATAATACTGACCACATGATTATGGAGACCATCGTCATGATTATCTCGTTGAGGATGTTGAAGAATTCGCACATGACCCTCCCTCGCTCGCCCATCCTGCCCATGCAGATCCCAAAGGTGATGAAGAAGCCGATCAAGCCTGAGAAAGACACAACGCAGCATGTTAGTAGCAGCTCTCAATGCAAATCAGCAAACATCAGTCAAATTAAACAATTGAAAGAAGAAGTTGGTAGGAGTTCAATCATCCTCTCACCGAGGACGTTCATGCCCCATTTGTACTCCAGTTTCTTCCTGTTCTCAATGATGGGCTCAGTTTGGTTTTCTACCATAACCGGCACCTTCTTCAGCACCGTTTGAACCTGGAGGTAGAACCACATTTAGATTGATCAGAGGTTTCAAATGTAATTAAACCAACACAAGCTCAATTTCACAAAAACCCTGATTTCGTAACCAATATTTTGTGAGTGAATGAAAGTTTGGCAGCGGCACAACACACTCAGATTTGTGTTTATAGAAAAAGCCAAAACAGGGAACAAGAGATTCTCAAATAAAGAAAAGAAAGAAAAGAAGGTTAAAAGGGGAAGGACGATTCCTTCCTGCAAAAGCTATTATGCCTTTTATGACTTTAATGGATCCCCAATGAGTACAAACAAAAGATGCAGTAAAACAGAGATGCAGACAGAAAGGACAGGAAGAACGAAAAAGGGAGAACACCGAAATGACTTCAGGGAGAAGAAGAAGTCTATAAGCTGGTGCTCAGCAGTGCTCCCTGTCCACCAACAGATGCCTTACAGTGGTTAACAAAGATGTAGCATTACAGATGCAAAGAGATTAGCAGAAGGGCTGACCCTCACCCAGTCTAACACAGAAAACCACGTGTAATCATTCAGACCCACACGCAGAGAGAGGCGGGGGGGGGGTGTTGATTTAGACAGAAGAAGTCGCATCATGATTGAGACTTGGATTACCGTATAAAAATGATCAGCATGGACGAACAGTAGCCCTGTCCTGTCCACCATTACCCAACAAACCTTTAATGTAACTGGGTATTCAGACAGTAAACCTTTTTTTAGCTGGTGTTCAAAACTTAAATGGATCATATGCGACAATTCACTTTTTGCAATTGTTTTTTATATAATCTCATCATTTAAGCACTTCAAGCTATGCTTATGTGTGTCATTCTATAATGTAGAAATTATTTATTGAATTACCAGTTAGATATACAAAATGTCCCAAAAGATGCCATATTCTCTACGTGAGCCAAATATTATCTTTGTTATCTTGCTGTTTTATTTAAAGGTGGGGTAGGTACATTTGAGAAACCGACTCGAGATACACTCTTTGTTATATTCCATCGAATGCTCTTAACTTCCCGATAGCAATGAATATCTTAAGTGCTTTGACAAAAAATCCATAAAAAAATTCATCTGTGTTTGTTTCAAGACCCGCATCAGAAAGCTTTTGAATGGTGGTGCTTTTCCAGTTGGTCTACCTGCTCTTCCCCTCATTGGTCATGTGCGCGTTCGTGTGTTTTGGAGGAGGGGCTCTGTAAGGAAGTGGCAGATTTTTTCCGGCTGTGTATTTTCAAATTGGAGCGCACTCGAGCTGGTTTCTCCAAAATTGACCTACCCCACCGTTAAACTACAGTAAAATATATATTTGTATGAAAAGAAAAGTAAATCCAATGTTGCCTAATTTGAGGGGCTTTACTTGTAATGACATTATGTAAAAAGGTAATCTTTACACTTTAAAGGTTACACTTCTGTAACATGTACAAATAAATTGCTATTTGGTTATAAGTCAACACTAATTGTGTCAAATCATGCTCTGATTCACTCCTGACACAGGCAGAATCACAGGTTGTTTACATCTCTGTTGTTTATTTTTATTTTTGTGAGACTGCTCAGTCAATACTTTTTATAGACCAAACTTTTCAGGTTCACATGAGCAGGTATTTCTAATCGAAACTAATGCAAAGCACGTATAGGAATTTTGCATATAATATATATAATTGGGATAATTTCCCACAATTTTTCAAGAAAGTATGCCTCATAACAACTACTACACGTTGTGGTGGGATCGTTTTTGTCAACTGCTGAAAAAACTAAATATAATAAATTTGGATGATGGCTCATTAACATTTTTTAGCATTACTGGAAATTAAAGTGGAAAACCTCTCTATTGTAAACAAATGTCAATGTATTTGTGTTTGATCACGAATGAAGTAAAATCCATGACAGTATTAATAGCATGACATACCAAGAAGTACAATTGTGCTGTGCCAGTATTTGCAACTTATCAATTTTAACCTATATCTGTTACATTCTTACTTTGATGTGTGCGCTCACAAATAAAGAGCTAGAGTAGGAAAACCGTTTGAGACTCATTTCAGAAGCTGAGGCTACCTGTTGGAAGCAGGCCTGCACGAGGTTCTCAGGAAACAGGTTTCTGAGCAGGTCAAGGAAGGCGTCCAGACTGCTGACCTCCGGGTTCCTCGGGACTGAGGAGGTTGTGGCGCCACCCCCCCTTAGTTTTGGGTTCCCCGGGTGGATACTCAACACCAGGATGACCCCAAGGATGGCAGCGATTACAGTGGTGGTCATGTAGTACACCATGGCTCTACTTCCCATCCTGCCACTGGAGCGGGCATCTAGACCAGCCAGTCCTTAAAGAGACAGATCATCATCAGGGTGTACTCTCATCAGGTACAAACCATGTTACTCGTGTGCACTATTGTCCTTAATTGTCCCAGTTAGCTAACATTGTTTGTGTAAGATACTTATTTCTGTGTTAGCTTTATCATGATATATAAGAACAGGTCTGTGTTGTGATAACAACAGGGGCGCCGTCAGGGATTTTGGGCCCCATGAAAAGATATCACATTGGTTACTTAAAGAGCATCTTGCAGTTTTTTTTTGTTCTACATTTATGCTTAAACTTGCTTGAAAATTACAATTAAAAAAGTGAATGTAGGATTTGATATGTTTTACGATACATAAGGGCAGGAATTCAGAGGGAAAGGAGCAATTTTGAGCTCTGCTCTTAAAAACGGCTTTTTTTAAGGTCATACGTCAAAAGCGTCATATTACATCACAAAGGGTAAACATCTCCGCTCTCTGACCGCGGGTATAGTTAGTAGTTGCGTTGAGTTGAGCGGATGTGTTTTAGTGAGCTGGTATTTTTCGGTAGTTTTACATTGTATTTCACCATTTGTGATCATGGTGCAGTATTGTGTTTGTGCAGGTTGCACAAATACCAGCCTGTCAGGACATTGAGTCCACAGTAAAAAGGACCGGAGCTAGCGTTCGTTCCTGGGTGCGTTGTGCATCCACCTCCCTGCAGCACATACTCTCCACAGCTTTATCAGGAAACCGTATTACTTATCTCGCTGCTCTCTCTCTCTCTCTCTCTCCCCTCCGGTACACGGCACCGTAAGACGTAGTGTGGAGTTGCATTAGGTAACGCTGTGGTGGCTGTATTGCTCCAGCCGTCTCCTTTGTGTTTGTTTGTTTCCCCCTGTCTGTGTTGTTTGTGTGTGCGTGGTGGCTGTCACTCCTGGCTCCCGGCTCAACATCCACTCACCTGCTACCTGCTGCAATCAGCTGTGCACCCTCCCCGACTACACACCTGCTTTCCATCAAGCCATTTACAACGGCATATCAACGGAGGCTCCACAACCTTTCTTCTGCCCAGTTCTCCACTGGTTCTCCTCACACCACAGCTCAATTTCTCTCCGATGGCCGTTATTTCTTCTAATCCTTGGCTGCTCCTGGTCTCTTGGACGCCTAGCAGGCTCATAATTATAAGGTTGTGGTCCGTCATATGCATTCGAATATTCATGTTCAACTTCTTCTGTGTCGAAACTAGCATTGGGATCCATGTTTATTAATAGGTTACACCGGCCGCTCTCCCCCTTGTGTCCCCCGTGTTACGTCACACGCGGGAGGTCACGTGCCGAGGCTTTTTTATGCGGAAGTGAACATTTCTTACAAAAACGACGCCAGATATCACTGTAGTGTATATTTCTGTATATTTTTTTGAAAATTTAGTGTATTCATCATTTTCCTACAAATTTATTCACAGGTGTCTTTAACCTGGAAGTTGCTCTTTAAACATTTTTTTATTAATGTTCTAAAATAGTTTGGGCCCCTGTCAGTCCCTTAGAATCCTCCTAACTTTTCACCCCCTTACGGCGCCCCTGGATAACAGTGTCCCATGTTCCCAGAGTCTATTGCTTGGGTATCCTTTAACATTGTCGAAGATTGGTAAGGTAAGGTAAAAAACATTCCATTCTCACCTGTGATGAGACTGGAAATGATTAGAGGCAGGATGAGCATCTTCAGCATCCTCATGAGGATATCTCCAGGGAAGGAAATCATAGTGAGGGCAGCATAGTCCTTCACACTCATGTACCGCAACAGCGTCCCAAACAACGATCCCAAGATAACACCTGAGGAGATAGTAGAGGAGAGAAGGGGAGTAGGAGAAAAGGAGAGGAAGTAAAAAGGAAAGGAGCGCAGAAGAGAAGGGAGGAGAGAAGAGGATATGGGGGAGGCAGAGAATAGAGGAGGGTAGAGGAGGAAAAGAAGAGAAATAAGAAACAAAGGCAGGAAATAGAGAGGAGAGAAGGGAAAGAGAGTAGACGATAGGAGGGGAGAACACATATAATGTTGTTGAAAGCAGGATAAGATTGATGTATTTGGACCAAAAACACATAGCTATTAAAAGTCATCATATAATATACAACATTTATTTTTTAAAAGTCGCTACTGTGTGTACTCAGAATAAATACAAAACATTATGCAAATAAACCTCCAATATCAGTCATTTTTACAACTTTGTCTTTATAAACCACATATTGATAGACCCTTTCTTAGTTTCAAGTAAATCTACTGCTCAACTTCTCTCCCCCCCGCCCCCAAAAGAAAACTGTTTAATATTCGAAATGTAAGAGTCCTCTGACTAATGATAACTTTCACTGTAATGTAAACAGGTTTACATTTTGGTTCAATTCTTGGTGACAGATGACAGACAAAAATAACATTCTTCTCCACTTTGCGGCGGTCTTTTTTTGACAAAGCATACAACTATGCAGAAACATACCAAAGTGTTTACAGAGTCAGACTAAAAACAGAAACGAGCCAAATATGCCTATTGTGAAAATGAGTCTGTATATCTAGAGTGCATATTCTGCTTTTTTCAACAACAAAAAACCGCACTGAAATTGAATTAAATATGAGATGGTAAAATATGTGAACAAAAAGCTGGTGTGAGGCATTGTTTCTTAACTTTCAAACTATCTTTAGCAACTACAATCCATCTTTCACAAGCTGGTGAAGATGTGCCGCATTTTAACACAAAATAATGTAATTATAGATAGAAAAGTACGGTTCTGAGTCCAAGCATACCCAGAATAGTGAGTCCCAGCAGCAGGTTGTGGGAGTTGCGGCTGCAGTGGCCTGCTTCTTTATATGCAACCTCTGTGTTGTCATCTCGCTGGCTTTCTTCTTTCTCCTTCTTGTTTGTGTTGGACTGGTTGGCTTTCGACTGGTTCGTCATCCTGTCTGTGGAGACAGTGGAAGGGTATGTGCTTCAACATCATTAAGCATGCAGGCCTGCAAAGTATTCAGTGTGGGTTAAATAATGCACCCTTCTCTGGCTGATTTATCCATTGGATTGTTTAAAGACTTCTTTGCTTATTTAGTATTGGTTGCAGTTATTGATGATTTAAATTGTTGCCATTTCGGCTGGCTGATTCTGCTCTGAAAGGTGGGTGAGGGACAACTGGGTATAACTACCACTCACTCACATGTCCTTGCAGCATTTGGTTTAGGTTCCTAATGGAAGTGAATAAGCATGACGGCAAGCAATGCAAACACAGAAGGCAATGGTAAACAGGACATGAAGAAATAACTCAAGAGATGTAATATATTATAGTTCTCTAAAAGGAAACAGCAGGAATGTAAATACTAGACAATATGTACTTTGCTGATAAAGGAAGATATATAGCCAATGAATCAGGTAAATAATCGGCCTATTAGGAGTCGTGAGATGTTGCCCCTGGCCGTTCAAACATTTTTGACTGACGGGTCAAAGTGAAAGTTACTTATTAGATAAATCCATAATAGTAGACTTTAAGAAGGAACAAGATTATCGCTGGTTCAGCCCGACCCAACCGGTGTAGGGTACAGGATCAGGAACACAATGTGTTGGCTAGATCAATTGATTGTTTATCCCATGTACTGTGATAATGGACAACAACCGACACAGCGTCCGGATTGAGTCAAGACTCCTTCACATAAATTGTGTTCTGTCACGACTGTGACTTCAACCACTAGCAGAGTATAGCTTTCATGTAAACGGGATGGAGCGAAAGAGAATTGATGTGAAAGACGATGATGTTGTTTGTGCTGCAGCTGAAACTGTGTAATAGAAGAAGGGCAGTTGTTTTTTCTTTCTTTCTGTAGGTTTATCCAAAACATGCCACCCAGCCACAAGTATGAACGAGCACATTCTTATTACTGGAAGTCTGTTGTCTTGGTTGCAATGCCCTTAGGCCGAGTCATTGCAACATATTATGATTCTAATGTAAGCAGCAGCTGTGTTAAGTCATAGTTACTAATACGCTTTCCCACTGATGTGTAGCAGGTATAATATTTACCGTGTAGAACCTCTTGGTTTTTGTGTGTTAGCATGCTTTAATTTTCTAATTAGCCCTAAACCTAAAATAATGCAGAGGCATATTGCAATGTCATTATTTGCAGGTATTGGTTCACAAACCAACATACTGACAAACCTTTATGTTGCCATGTTCCAAATACTATACATTGTCTAGGAAAGTTTTGTCAGGCTGGGGCCACTAAATCAAATTCAAGCGATTGGTCAAATCAGGGGTGTCCAAACTACGGCCCGGGGGCCAAATATTGACCACGGACCATTTTTTATCGGTCCTCAGCCAATTCTAAAAGTATAATGAAATATGGCCCACAAATTAAACATCTACTATTGTACTTCTTAAATATATATGTTCAAATATATAACATAATATTCATGTGTTATTTTCAAATAAATTCAGTCAATTAAAGTTGAAAACATTTTTCAAAAATATTAGTTAAGAAAAAAAGCACAATAATAAATGTACATAACAACCTTGAAATATACCCTTCATATTTCCTCTTATCATAAGCAATCTGAGCCTCCTGTCTTAAGGGATGAGCTGCCAACACAATAAATGAAACCCTACGGAGAACTGTGTGGTCCATCATTTACCGACATTTGATTGATTTCTCTAACTTATAACTTATGAGGCAATTTACCTCTAGTGAGCGGCCCAGCCCTTCGTATATTTTTCTGTATGTGGCCCTCTGTGAAAAAAGTTTGGACACCCCTGGGTAAAATCATTAGAATTTATGCTTTAGGAAATGTGAATATCTACACCCTACTTCACAGCAATCCTTCCAATAATATAAAAGATATTTCATTAAAAAACAAAAAATGGTGAGACATTGTTAAAAAACAGGGAATGTCAAAGTCAAGATTTATCATCTGGGGATCAAGAATATTTGTACAAAATGTCATTGCTACCCATCCAGTAGTAGTGTAGGTATTTCCGTATGGAACAGGGTGGTGGCGCGTCTGACCGGCATTGCCAAACGTAAAGCCAAAGCACTGGCATTGCTAAAAAGGATAATCTGGTATTGAAGAAATTCAAGTATGATTTCTGTCAAAATGCAACTCAGCACCATGAATATCAGAAGTGTATATTACTGTATATCAACAGTATTCTAGCACTTGGAAGTACATCCATCATTTTTTAACAGTAACCCTAAAGCTAGATCGCTTCTTTGAAAGGGACGGGTCTCCAATAAACAGCTGACAACCGTTAATTATCAGACAAGGTCTAGTTTAGGGAACCAATCAAATTGTCCTCCAAGGCAAAGTCATCACCTTCAACACCAAAGAAAGACTCAGCCACTAAGAATGTGTTCACTGTCAGTGCAATACACATTTCTTCTCAACGGATACCCCACCGCAACAATCTCCAAACATTAATCGTATATAAACACATGTTGAGAGCAGCGAAGCCGTGCCAAATCCTTGTCAGATGTATGAATGTCAGATTTACAAACACTCTGACTCAGTGAGACATTTGCAATCAGACATGATTATAATTCATCATCTGAGCAAACGGTATTATATGCAGCAGTAAAAATACAGTTGCCTACAAAATGATAGTAGACAAGTGGGAACACAAAGATGTTACCTACTAGTTTGTCTGCTGTCACACTTTCAGCTCGGCACCCTATCCATATCTGTCCCCTTTTATAGTCTCTGCAACAGTCGACGATCCGGACACAAAGACGGATTGCCAGTATGATCTGAAATTGTATATTTTGGGGGCGGAGAATGTCCTGCTAAATTTCAATTTCAAAGATATAATCCCCGTTGAACGAAGTACGGAGGAGAGGAGGGGGAAGGGTGTTCCAATATTATAGTCTTTACAAATCCTCTTTTCAATCCTTGTGCCATTCTTAGTATGAACATTGTTCGGTAACGTCACTTGACCACACACTTTAGTTGTATAGCTGTCTAATAAGGTGTGGGATGGGGAATATTATCATCTTCCCCCTTTTTTAAATAACAATGAACTCAAAATGTCTCTTTTATAATCATAACTAAAGGTTTAAAGATTTAAATCACTACAGGGATCAGACCCTTTTAAGGTTTGATAAGGTTTTGTAAATCTGTCAGGCAAAACCTGGTGGGTGAAATTGAGAGGAATTGAAGGCTGGTTAGCATTGTTTGGGACAACACTTTTGGCTATGCAAATCCTGAGCTTCCAAATACTATATATGTATAAAGCAATCTAAGCCTAGTCACATGTTAGAAGCAGAAAAAGAATAAGGATGATTGTCGTCCTCTCCAGCAATGAAATCTGGATATTAAACCTTTGTTTATGGGTAGGTCAGATGGAGGCACTGAAATAATGAAGCAACAGCATGTGCTGAGGAGTATTAGCTGCAAGGATATACTCAGGGACCTGAAACTACTCTGTAAATCTCTCTTCCTTTCCCAACAGACAGATTAGTTTCTTGCTCCAGGAGATGTCAGAGAGGTCTCAAGACAAAATGTAGCTGGCTTCTAGAAACCAGCTCTTACTGGGCTGTCCTGGTGGCTCTGTTCAACTTAGGAAAACTGAAACTATTTACAACCTTGTAGGGCTTAATTCAACTCTTTAGTTTCTAATGTTTTGCCTGAAAAGTGCTTACCCAAGTACAGTTTATAGGTACACAGGAAACAGATGCTGATCAGAGTATCAGAGCAACAGCCAGGAGAGGAACAACTGGCTATAGATACGCCTAATTACATCATATTACAGCTTAGCATCCTTAATAAAACACAGCAAAGTCAGCAGGTTCAGATTGTTTGGTCAGGGCGCTTACAGTAAATCCTGGCTTTTGTAGAAACATGACACAGGTATAGCTGGTCTGCCAGTGATCTGCAGACCAGGAGGCATTCCCCTTTGAAGTGAGGCCTGGTCGCTAGGAGAAAGCTTAGAAAACACATGTTGATCATGAGAGCTGAAGGTAGCAGGACTTCAAAGTGAGTCCAGCTCAGAGCTAAGAAACAAGGAAGTAACTCCAGCTGGTTTGGAAGTGATGTCGTAGCATGGGCCAGATGCAGGCGCAAGACAGAACATCTCCCAGAGAGACTTTTAGAGAGGAGCAGACTGGATAAACATCAGGGTCCTCAATGTAAACACCATTGTAATCCATCAGATGTAGATGGTGACCTATGTAGTGTGTGATTACCATCACAATCAGTCTCCACATACAGAAATGTACTTACTTATCTTCTTCTTCTTCATGGTTCCCAGGAAAAGCGGCAGTCGATAGAATGAGTTAATCTCCCTGAAGAGCAAGCTTTGATTACTGTAAATGAGCCCAAGATGATGAAGATGAAGGAACACGTACCATCAGAGCAGAACACGAAGAACTATCTCAGTGCTTGCTTAAATGCTGTTGACCCAGGCTCACTAGCCAATCGCTGATGTCGATTCAGGACATCAAACAGATGCACGTGGGCTAACTCTATACCTTCCCCCTCCCTTGCAATCTGTCTGATCTAAACCTCGACATTACAGTAATGTTCAATAGCTGTGATATAAATCAACATGAGATTATAAATGTGGTTTGACAGATTGCATGTCATCTTTATGTACTTATTTAGTATATTGGTTACAGCGATTAATAAGTCGGATGTTTGTTTTAGCAATTTAAATTATTGAATTAATACATCAGGATTCTGAATCTTACTTAAACCAAAGCATGCAATCATATTGCCAATAGATTTCAGTAATATTCCAAGCAAAAATAGTGGGAAACATTCTCTGTTTGCACTTTCATGGGAGAATATCTGCTGCATGGATACGTCATATATTTTATTAACTGAATATCAATGATGTTGGACTCTAGGTTTAACAAAACAAGACAATTGAAGATGCCAAATGGGCTCTTGGGAGCTGTGATGGGCAGTTTCACAGTTTTTTTTGCGTCTCATCGATTTTATGAATCAATGAATTAAACAAATTAACGAGAAAAGGAGAATTGTTCAATTGTTGGTTTTAGGCCTAAATGCAATGTTTTATATCATTAAAGACTGTTAGACACTACAAGAAAACTAGGAAAACTTTTACAGCATACAAACCAATAGTGGGATTCCCGTTTATGTGCTGTCAGTAGATACAAACTCGACTTTTGAATTGAGTTCATCTAGAGGTTAGAGGCTTATATTATAGTAGTATTATAATGAAAAGATAGAACATGTGTATTTTAAGAAGAAAAAGGCATCTGTGCTTGTGTGTGAATTTGTAACTGTGTCTCAGATGATTATTTCCAAGGGTTGATTGTTTGGTGTGAGCTTTGCAAAGGGATCGAGAAATAATCCTCACCCGCCATCCCCCCGATCCTCCCCTCGCTCAGCAGAGGGAGATGAGGACGGTCAATGCAGCTTTACAATGATAACTAGAGCTTGAAACAATATAATAATTTCGTGAGGTTATCCTCGACAAAATTGTATTATTAGTAGTATGCAATATGTTGAAATTAATTCACTCTATATGTAAATATCAATAATGCAAATTAACACATTCTCTCTATCACACACACACATCTGGGGATCCATGCAGTTCAAAGGAGAGCGGCCCCTAATGCCTTCAACATATGCACGACTGCCATCAAACACGTGTCTGGTGCATGGCTCTACCAGATCACTGCAGCAGGACAGTTAAACTGTGTGTATCAACCCTCTTAGTGAAGGTCAGAGTCAATCAGAAGTGGACTCTACTCAGTGCATCAGATTTTACTGGGAGGGTGAATGTGTGTCCTCACTTGGCATGCTTTAACGCCTCATGAGGTATTTGCTGCTTGCAGAAGATAACCTAACTCGTTTGTTTTACTATTACAATCCTGTTAGTTATGTCATGGCCAAAACTATAGTTCTTCAAATTAAGTTAATTAAATCATCTGTCAGTCAATATTGTTTAAATAGAGTTACGTTTGATAATCAGATTCAGTATCAAATTTAAACTGGATTATTATTGTCAACCGTTTTTGTGAACAAATGTTTGCAAAGGCCCTTCTTAGCAAAGACTGGTGTGATTTAAATGAGTTATTTAATTATATTAATTATTGAAGGATTCCAAAACAACCATTTCAACTTTGTGGAGCTCAATGTGGCATCTTGAAATGTTCTTTTATGTCTGTTCAACATTCAAAAACACAAAGTTAGTGATTTGCCAGTGATATTAAATCATAGAAAAATATTGACGTTTAATCGTCCAAAAAATAATGACAATTAACTATCAAATTACTTTTATTACGTTTATGAAATGTTGATTAACTCATGTTAATGTTCTGCACAGCAATAGAGATAAAACTGCAGCCATGAACCTTAATGTCCAATGATATGAAACAATGAAAAGCAGCATTCATCACAATTTGAGACACACACAGATGTGTATGTGTGTGATGTAAGTATTTAAGATGGGGTGGACATGGATTGTGAGTAAGAGATAACATTTGTGAGCTTGTGTGTGTGTGATTTTACCCTGCATCTATCCACACATGTCATGCACACACACTCCCCCCCGCCCCCCTCCCGCTGACGATAATCTGAGTGTATTAATCTGTTGTTTGAACTCCTTAAGCACAGACTGTCTATCACATCTGCTCTCTTCACCCTCACAAAGCTCTGCTATTTATAAACGTTTGCCTTTGTCCTCTCACTTCCTTTCTTTTCTTTTTGATCTGTTGCTGCAATTTCACCATTGCTTTTCTCTACAGCAGGACTGAATTTCACACAGCTCATTTCCTCCGTACAGTAAATCTATCTTCTCATTTGGCCAAAAGACGCCTTGGAAAACCCTCAAGGCAGACAGCATGCTCAAACAATGCCGATAACTGTTAATATATGACTGCCCACCACATGTTCACACATCTGATTTAAGAGGTGACAGTTAACTTTCCAAAACCAACAATAGTTTAACTCTCATGGAAATTACTGCAACAGAAAACACAATAATAACGACTGATCGCAATGAAAAACAGACCCTGAGACTAACGAATCTGACAGTGCTGTCATAGGCGATCATCATCTTTCAGCTTTAAATTAATGGGAGCATATGGGGGGGGAGGGCAACCAGAAGGCAAACAGCCTTACCTGCTGTGTGTCGCTGTCTCCCATCCGACGAGAGCGAGGCATCGGGAGAGACACACAGACGAGAGGAGAGATGTGGAGATGAAGAGGGAGAGGGGATGGTTGGCAAAGTCAAAGTCTTTGCGTCATCTGAGGAAATTTGCAGATTATTACAACAGCTTGGTCTTCTGAGCCCCCCCAACCCCATCTCACCCTTGCTCTCCTCCCTCCCTCCCTTCGTTCTCCCTCATTTACTAGCATGCTCTCCATCCCAGGTCTCAGTTTATTTAATTATTTATACTGTTTGTGCTCACTGATATGCGGGCAGGAAGAAAGATAAGAATACTAGTCTCAATTGATTTCAGAAATGTATTCCTATGTAAAAAAGTATCGCATAAACAGGGGAGGGTGGGAGTTTGGGACATATTGGATGGTGTTGATGGTGGGGGGGGGGTGTCGTGATCAACCTCCCTTCCACAGGAGGGCGCTATGACTGCACTGAGTAGAGAAGTGTGCACAGTAGCCTCTCTGAGGGATCCTTTGACAGATATCAGTGTCAGTCAGAGAGGCCAGAATTGAGGCCCATGGTACATACTGTACTTACATGGATCGAGCTTTTTCCATGAACCATGACATATCAGTAAACAGAATCCGAAATACATTCACACGTTAACTGTCTGTACTCTGTGCAGGAATGCCAGCCTATGATTGGGCTTTATGAGGAGGCCAGGATTGATTTATGAGCGTGGCTTCTCAACTGTCAAATACAAAGTTATATAACGACGTGACTTTACAGACATCCGACAGTCTGACACTGCTGAGACCTTTCAATCCCAACTTTAAACTCAGCTTTTTAACTTTTAGTGAGTTTATTATATTTTTTCAGCACTTCAGGCTTTGTCCCCGTTTGATCTCAGTCTGAATCTACTAAGCCTCATTCTTGCGTTCCATGTTTGTCCAGTTAAAGTTCGGTTGGTTCAACATTACAGATGTTTGGATCCGGACTTTACCCTAAATGAGAATCAGCCTCCCCCATTTCCTCTTTCTCTCTCTGTAACTTTTGTTGGGCATTCTGTACACACCATGGTACACACACATAAAATGCATACCTGTCGGCCCTGGAAAAGAGATCCTTCCTCTGGTGCTCTTCCTGTACGTTTTTTTTCGATGGGGGACTTTCCTCATCCGAAGCGAGCAACAGTGGAGGTTGTATGAAGCACCAATCACCTTGAGGCAAATTGGTTATGTAAATACAAATCACTTAACAAAACATAAAACACTCCTTGTTATGATATGAGCCTGAAAACGCTCTCCCTTACTGACATTGCATAAGTGCTTGATATAAGGCTACACCTGGAATGATAAAAACTCTACTCTCATACTTTGGCTATTCAAATTTGAGTTACAGAGAATACAGACAATGCATTTCCCAAACATATAGGTCAGGGAAATATAACAATAACACCACACTGCTAGACCGCTTTGGGAAACAAAAGGCAGCATTTTTAATGTCTTAATGACTCCTTTGAGATACCTGAACCTACTTTTGAATGCATTTAATTGTGTTTGAATTATTTGTTCAAGCTTAAAACGCTGATGGATTGGTGTACTGAAAGAAAAGTGTTGCCATTTAGTAATTGGGTTTAGTAACAAGCACCTCACTAACAAACATACATGCACGCATACCTAAAATTCAAACCACGATGCACATGCAAAGCAACACACTAACACACACACACAGTCCCACAGGGGTGACAGATGGAGAGGGGCAGGACGTGAACAGGGGCTGGTACAATTGGGCTGGTGCCTCCATTGTGCAGTAGGTGCGCTGTAAGTCTATCCTCTACTAATTGCCAGAGCAGTTCAAACACAAAGTCTGCCTCTGAAATCCAATCCTGCGGGGTGTTGTACAGTGACTAAAGTTTACAATGTGTAACATTTTTCCTCTTGAAATAAAAGGGACAAAACATGGCTTATGGAAGAAGGGGGTGAGGGGATGTGGAGGAGGTCGGTGGGGTGGATAAGTGCAAAAACTCAAAACAGAGGGAGGTGTGGATTGTGTTGCCGAGAAGGAAGACGTAACTGTAAATAGATCATTCACTATCCAGGCTGAATGTCTAATCCGGGGACATCCAGACTGCAGGGGCTCTGTGGCAAGTGAATGAAAGTGTAGCCGCTGTAGGTGGATGGAGTCCTGTAACGAGACACTGAGGGGGACAGATAAGGAGGCGAGGACGAGTGATTGAGAGGTGATCTGTGGAGGGAGAGAGCGAGGTGCTGTAAGAGGAGAGGGATCGGCGGGGCAGATGATGTAAACAAGACGAGCAGAGTGTGTGTGCGCATGGCGACGGCTGCATGGCAGTGTCTGAAGCTGCTTTTATAAACTGACAATGACCCAGCTTCTGAACCAACAGCGCACATAGCAGAAAATCTAAACAGACAGGCCCGGAAAGGGGCAGACTGCCAGGTAATGCAATGCAACGCCAGTCTGCATTTTGCACCCATTCCAACCTGTTTCTCATTAAGCATTAAACTGAATTACCTAAATAAGTCCTCCATTCCACTAATGAGGGTTCGCAGCTCGAACCTCTCATATTCCCTCGCCCTCCCAATACGTTTCCCGAAGGTGAACATTCCTTGCACTAATTTCAGTTTTACGCAGAGAGACTTGCAGGCGCATGTGTTTTGTTTGTCGGAGCAAACATGTGTGCGTGTGTGTATCTTCGATGTTCATGTGTGTTGTTTGTGTGTTTACGTGTGGTCCGGCTCCAAGCCGTGTCACTCATCCTCTATGACCTTTAGTAAACTTTGAAATTGAATTCGACCATGAATGTTTTTTTCTTTCTACAATACTAAAACTGTGCCAAATATGTCCGTTAGACAGCAGCTTAAGCACTACAGCCGGGCATGTCGAAGCCAGACAGACAGACAGGAAGTGACACAATCATAAGTATGGCCCCCCCTTTGAATGACCTCACCTTTGACCCTTTACCTCTTTACCACCATGGCTGCCGACTGGGGCATTTCCAGGAGGCTTTGGCTAATTGGGTCAGATTGCACAGAGAGAAGCATTACTCCTGAAATTGGAAACATATGCAGCCATACCTCAGTGTGTATGATACTGTTACAAATGGCAGTGCAACTCCTATTAAAGAGAGGTTTGAATATAGGGGGAAGGAGGACGATGAGGGAGTGGAGTGCATTAAAAGGTGAATGATGGAAGGAGCGTTGAAAAGGAAAAACAAATCAGACGCAGAGAATCCAAGTGTGTGAAGATGGAAGAGGAGATGATGCAGAACTGACATACTGGTACCATAGGGAGGTCGAGCATCTGTAATTGAAGTCTGACGTCTGACTCGCTGGCTCACTTGTGGACAGAGAGACTTTTAGCTCGCCCTGACAGCTCAGCTATTTGCAGTAATTGCCATAATAGCTACCTTCCAATTACGCTCAGATCTGAGTTTCAAACGAAGGAGGATGTCCAACGCGAAGCAACAAGTTGATGTGTGATGGCGCTGCGTGTGGGAAAACATTTCTCAGAGGAGCTGGAGGTAGTGAAAGTGACATTTGGAAATGAGAATAGGTGAATACAGTGAAATGTCCAAAGGTGGATCATGAGCAGAAGATAATAAGTAGAAAATGAAACTAATATCCCAGCTATATGAGACACAGTGAGTGATGTTGCCTAAGGCAAGTTCCTCATGTCAAAGACAGGTTGAGAAAAGGATCAGTTTTGTTATAGTCACGCTTTAATAAAAGTCTGAAAAGCAGTTTGGGTCATGAAAGACGTTTGTTGAAAAGAGAAATCCCAAAAGGAAAAAACGATAACCGCTGTAGACAATTGTGTTATTCCGTGGATTATGTTGTGACTTAAAGGCTTTTGTTGAGTCTGACGTGACAATAAGAAAGAAAAACTGTGAAGGAACATTGAACTAACCTCTGTACATTATTGATCGTGGAATTGTTGCAGTTAGTTTTGTCTATGAGAGAGTGGGAGCAAGAGTGCAAAAAACAACCTCTGCGCGTAAGTGACTTTTCAATCGTCATCTTTGTTAGACCGCCAATCCTGTCCGCATCAAGCTAACAACTTTCTCTTGCTTTTTTTTCAGACTCCAACTCTCACTGATGCACCCTGAGGCAGAAATATCTAAGTGCATACAGGGCAAGTTCAGACAAATTCAGAGGTAGAGAGAATGGTGGGAGGGTTGCAAGGATTTCGAGTGACTGACACTAAATGCCAGGAAGGAGGAATGCTTGTGAGGGAGACACCAGGCAGTGTTTGTGTGTTAATGGTAACGATAATCTGGTGGAAGATTTTCTGAAATCTACACTGAGTGCTGCTGTACGATGGGCATGGTTAAGAGAAAAAGAAAAAAATGCATATAGTGTGTATATGCATGTGTGCTTGTGTAATCAGTCAATGGGTGCAAGTACATCAACGCTCCCCTCTATTTGAGGGTATTGACAGTGTTAAATGTCTCCGTCCCTGAGTGAAGACTGCACTTTAGTCTGCCTCTATACAGAAGTGTCCCGTTTTAGCGGCTTTGAGTTTGAAAAACCTCTTTTCATGATCCCCCTTCTCTTTCTGCGTCTCCTCTCCGGTCCCTATCTCTCCCATCCCCGGACTCTTTCATGAGCAGTCTCTCAGGGGCAGGGTTGTAACGTAACCCTCCCCTCTTTTGTCTCCATTCTTTTCCTTATCCTTTCATCTTTTTAAACATTCAGGGGGAAAAGGGTTTGGTGAGATGGAAACCACTACTTGGTAAAGGAAAGAAAGAGATAGCATGTGAGAGAGGGGGATGCGAGAGGAGGGGGATGCAGAGTCTCCCCCCCTGCTCATCCCACAATTTATGGCTCTCCTTTTCAACAAGGCCATTCAAGGTGGGGAGGCTCTGTGGACGCGCTGTTCTCGCGGGTCAATAGCAATGAACCCTCGTCTGGTTTGTATGGGGACGACTTATCTGCTCAGAGGACCCGTTGAACTGTCTGTCGACGTGCACGTCGTCCATAGACCTCCATTGTGTCTCCATAGGGCCTTCGCCGACTTTCCCCCAAAGACCTGTGAGTGGAGAGGGCAGCCAGTCACCGGCTCCTGTTTTTATCCTTTCAACTTTTACAGGAGTTCCAAAGCTGCCTCCATTCATCCAACATATACAGATAATGTGTTTATAACTTTAATTACACCAATTAATAGAAGTAGTTCACTGTAAACAAACATCAAAGCAAACTCAGCTAAATCAAATAGATAGTAAATTAATATATCCAATTAAAAAGAAGGAACATTATACCAATGTATATTCTTGTACCAAGAGAACAAATCCACATAATGAAATGTTAAACGTAACAAACGTCAATACATATCGGTTTTGCAATACTATTAAAGATTTCCAGATTGGAAGCACATCAAAGAGTAATCACATATTTCTTTGCCAGAAGCGTCAATAAATAAATCCACTTTTTGGAAGAATCGTTTTCGGTTATCTTCACGTTAAATAATGAAAATATCTATGTTGACATCTAAGTGAGAAACCACTTAATCATAGGACTCTGATGTTGAAGGCAAATTTATTATACACTGTTTTAAAAAAGTTTGCAGTATGTTAAGGTCATGAACATAATTCATAGAAGACCTAGCAGTGTTGTTTTACCTGTAGTTTCAAAATTAGTTTTTTTCTTGGATGCAGTTTTTTTAGAAGTAAAAAAAAGAAAACAACAGCTCGTTCTGTGAAGGTGGTCGAGGCTGGGAAGAGGGGGCCCCATGTCCAGCATTGCCTGTGGTCCCCAAATCAGCAAGACTACCCCTGTTAAAATGAATGCATGGATTAAGGATTTTCGCCTTTTTTCTTTTTTTTTTAATAGTGCCATATGTTGTTTTACTTTGGTAACTATTATATATTTTGTGAGCTGTATAAAATACTTAATACAGCAAATTAAGTTATCAACATCCAAAGATCCTGTCAGCAAAACACTCACCTGCCAAAGAGCAAGGCACATACCCAAGAGAAGGATCTGGTGCAAGCAAACAGGAAGCAATAAGAAAGCAGAGTCGGATAGCTGGTTCAGATTGAGCCAAATGTGATTATGTTGCAACCTGCATTTACAGAAGAGAAGTTTTTCGATTTGGGCCATCCATCTTCACTTCAGATTTTTTGTAATAATTTGCACTGTTGCCAACCTATGATGAACCCGCTTTAGGTGGATCTGTGCCAACACAACACTGCTGCTAATTCGTCAAATACTTTTCTTGAGAACTATGGGGCGGGGATGAAAGTAAAAAAAGGCGGTGAACTAAAACAGTCACGCACATGTGAAGTCTGAGTTAACAACTCACTCAATGTTTGTTTGTATGCATTTAATCTAGCTAGCATAAAATGTGACTTTTGGCTCATATTGTACACGTAACGCTTGATTATACTGTTTAATAATATGCCTCCAAGAAGCGAGATTGACAGACACATCTGCTTTTGCATATGTTACTCGTTGTAAAGTTGTAGATATGTTTTTAATATACTAACCTCCTGAGGAAAAAAACTTCAGTTTGTCTGCGCTTCCCAGGAGAAACCGGAGTCATTATCCGTGTCAAGCTAGCAGCAGAGAAAAGGAAGTTGCGGCGGAAGTTGCTTTTTTATGTCTTCGAAATAAAAGCCTGATTACGAGTCAAATGCTCCATTACAATACGGACATCTAAAAGCAGGTTTGACTTTGAAAGGAAAAACCGGAAGTTGTCATTCTAACTAAAGCTAGTTTAACTGTTTGTCCGACTTCACGCGTTTCAGGCGGAGTTCAGTTCATAAAAACATTTCGCCAACTTATTCACCTCTTCACTTCTTCGTTCACATATTTGAACAGGGAAACCTCTTCCCTGGTCTACTCTTGAGGAATAACAACTCATGGAATATCTAAACTTTGTGGCACGTTTACATTTTTGACACTTTTCTGGGCTCATTAACTAGTCTTTTCCCCCTGCAGTGGAAGCGCTCCCAGGACCGGAGACTTTTCTGGTTTCTAACTTTACTTTTCTTATCTTGTCCCCGTCGGATTTCTGGGGGGCACATGCGATGTCACGGACTAATAAAGAAGAGAGACATGTACGTCTTTAGCTATGTGTTTTCCATACGACGGTGTTTGTTGAATTTATTATTTTAAACCAGTTGAGCAACTGGCGACTGAACATATATAATCAATGTGGTGCCAGCTGGAAGGACGCGGGGTCCGGATCTCACCTAAACGGTAAGTCTTTATTACACATTAGACCTCCATTAAACGTGTTTAAATACTACACACTGTGCACAATAACTCATTTGATGATTTGTATTTTTAAGGTGTTCAGTCAGTTGGTCACACAACTAGATACATAATGTTAGTAAATATATTTATTTAGGTCAGTTTATTTTGTAATGTTTTTTTACTTATTTATCCATGCATGCACACATAACTTGCTGGCTTTTTATTTTTATTTATTTAAATATTTTCAATGAAATGTAATGTCTTTCTTCTTTAATGCTCTTAGAACTATGTTCGTGTTATTCCTTGTTCATGACTGATGCATTTTGAAGTGTCCCAATCCAATTTTATTTTACTTGGCAGCTTTTAAGTTGTAGCTTGTTTCACATTTTGTTTTTGTTGGCAGGCAGTTAAAGCTATAAAATGTCCCATCCCGATCTTCAGGGAAGATCAAATACAGGTTATAATGAGAAACAAACCTGATGTTGATGTATTAATTTAATATCTTCAAAATAAATTAGAGGCTAAAAAGGCTTTGCTTTTTTTGGGGAACAAGTTCAATGGAAATCATTTTGTCATAATACTATTATATTTAGTTTGTATTCAATAACTATGATGGCAGGCAAGCACTTTGAAGATGAAGACATTTGGCATGCTATATTATTGCACTACTGCATAAAGACACATATTTTGTACCAAAGTAAAAGTGTCATCACTGTAGCAGCGTAGAATTACTCTGCAAAGAAAAGTCATGTTAACTTTCATATTACAAATGTATAAAAAATAAAGTACCATTAGTAAAAAGTATCCATTATGCAGAATGGCCGAATTCAGAATAAAGTATTGATGAATTACTGCGTTCGTCACTTTACTGTTTCAACTTATAAAGGTGGGACTTATTTATTACTTTATAAACTTTATCTGTTGGGTAGCTTGTGAATTTCCCTTATGGGATCACTAAAGTAGTATCTTATTCTATAATATAACATCATAATGTGTTTGTCAAATATCTGAATCTTTAAAGTAACAAGTGATATTTGTAGTGGAAAAAAAGTACATTATTTCCCTCTAAAATGTAGTATATAGTATCAAACAACAGAAAAACTCAAGTACAAGCACCTTAAAATTGTACTGTAGTACAGTACTTGATTAAATGTACTTCACAACTGTGCATCAGTCTATTGTCATGTTTTTAAAGGACAATGAAAGATTTACAGGGAGAGAGATGAGGCGGATTGGTGTTTCATATGGTCTCGGGTTAGAGTGGAGGAGGCTGGATCTTTGCAGGTTGAGCGTGGTATGAAACAATCACAGACCTGGAATTAATGGGCTGTTTGCACAGTGGGACAGCAAGACATTGTAAACGAGCACATGTGATACCAAGGCTTTACGCTACCCTCACAGAGAGACACAGAGAGGGAGGGGAAACATTTACCTGCGTGTGTTTTTTCCACGTCCGACAGCCACTCCTGTTGTCACCGTTTCTGACAGTCACACTCAGGTGCATTTCAGACCGCTTAGTCAGACTGAAAGAATCTGCTGAAAATGTGCAAACTGTCCTCTAATCAGCCGGCCACCAAAGACATCTTCCACCCTGATGACTTCAAAGTAGGCAGGATTAGGTTAGGACGGGGCCTGGTCCTAACACTAACACAGAGTGCATTAACTCTGTCAGACGGACGTGTCTGACATTAGCCACGCATGAGGGGGGCATTACTTTGTTGACAGGCAAAAAGCACAGTAGCCACGGCCAGGTGTGGGGCTGCTTTATGGCATCTGTTTCCTGGTGAGGGTCTCACAGCCAGACGCCCTCTGTAAACCCCGCTGATTCCTCCTTGACTCATGCTGTCACATAGATTAAGCCCCTGTGGTTTACACTGACAGCACTCATAACAGTAGACAGGCCAATTTGCCAGGTGCCACGTCTACTACAAAAACACTTTCCTTTATTGGTTTTTTCTGCATCTTCTTGTTTGTCTTTCATGTTTTGGAGAGTTAAAACTAGGTGGTTATATTCAAATGTTACTTGGTATGTCTGTAAACTTAAAGACCAATATAAAGAAGACAATATAAAGATTGTTAGTTGCATCACTACTAATATCATAACACCCTTGTGTATACGAAATCGTGATGCTTTACAATAAGTCAAAACAAGAATAACATCATAAATATAAAAATATACTTAATAGTGGTGCAGGGGGAGGGAAACACTGCATGTTTAAAGTCTAGTCAAAAAGCAAAGTGGAATAGATCCATCTCAAGCTATCACTTAAAAATGTCCTCTGAGGTCATCTCCCTGATATTCTTACGGGAATGTTACGGTATTGCATGGTTTTCAAGAAAACGTTTTTTCTGAAGGACACCGACTGATCTGCATGATAAAGCCACATAGGAGAGAAGAAACAGGCCGCTTTCTTAATACACAGTGATAATCAATGCTAAATAATTCAGGGGGCCACTGAGGCTCCTGAAGGTGTCGCAGAAAATAGTTTAGTCTGTTTAGTTTGATTATTCATGGAGCCTTGCTTGGTGATGTCGTTGCTCTCTGTCTGCTTGTAGGCCCTGCTCCTGTGGTTTCAGGGTATTCTTCCTGTGCTCATTTAGAAGATTTTCAGGCTACGGAGATTAGGATTAACAGAAGTGTGCAGTGTTGAGTGGGGTTCTATTTACTAAGTGAGGTTTTTTGATTTTAGAGAGGCTGGGATTTCTGTGTGTTCGTCTGGGAGGGATTCGGAGTGCTTGGGTCTGATCCAGAGGCCGGGAGAACGTCGTGGACCCCGTCTAGCCTTGCAGGGAGTGCAAATGATGCGTGTCATTGTAGCAAATGGAGCATGGTGATAAAGTGCTGCTCCTGCTGTTTCACAAAGGAACCACTTTAGAGACTCTGCCGAAGGGAAAACCCTTAGGAAGCATATAGCTGTCCTGCAACAGAATACAAACTCACGCATTAACTGTAGGCCTGTCACGATCATTATGTTATTGATTTATTGTGCAATATATGGACATGACCTCAATATTTTTTTCCATAACAACGTATATCTAGAAAAACTTATTGTCCAGCCGAGGCAGGAAAATTGTCTTTGGTATCATGATTATCCATGAAAATATAAACCCAAAACTATGTACATTAACAGAACAATATCTCTCAATTGTAAATGTACACAGGGTAAAACATCCCATAAGTCAGAAAATGTATCTGTCTTGTTCAACAGATTTTGCATTCATATGGTTTACCAGCCTCGACTCTTATATTAAAGTTAGCTGTAATCGATTAGATGGACATGACCTGGATCATTTTTGCTCGCCTCAATATCAACTTTTGTGTTTAAATTGGTATTTATTTACTAAGGCATAGCGGTGTGGAGAAAATCTAATATCACAATATATTTGATCAATCCCCTATTGTGACCATATTGTACGGTTGACCTTTGGTGCTCTCACAACATTGTTACGCAATCAGATTTTGTTTCAATAATCCTCAGTAGTGTGGATGACTAAATTGGTCACTAGCCAGTTAGACCAGACATCAGTTGACTGTAATGCAGCGTGAAAACCAAGAAAAGACACATTTGATTAACCTTACAATTTCCAAAATCTAAATATATCCAATATATTTCATTCACAATATCAATAATAATTTATATATTACGACTATTGTTGACATAAGAATGCCATCAACATTTCAGCCAACATTATGCTACCATAAACAGCAGGGTTTTCTAAACATTCCTACGTATTACAAATGTATTTCTCATCAAATGAAAATAATATCGCTCATATCGATCAGATTATGTGTACATATAAGCTATATATATATATGGGTGTACAGGTGTGTGTATATATACATATATGTATATCATTTTGATTTGATTCCTGGGGATTGTGCGAAAAAGCATTTCGATCTTTTTGAAGATTGACATTGAAGTTGAATTTGAATAAATTCTAGGACAATATATCATCCAACAAATGTAATTACTGTGACAGGCCTACTCCATAAACACAAATCCTAAAGTTTCGTGCCTCCCTCCCCTTTCTCCCCCATCTCCACAGTTTGCTCATTTGAATATATCTTCTGTTCACCTTTGCTGCATGACTTCCAAGTTTAAGGGGTGTGTTAACAGCTTACTGTTCAAAGCTAGTGAGTATTTGGCAGGCCTGGTGCGGGGATCAGTAGCCAAAGAAAACAGGAAGCTACTGGCACTTTGATGGTATTTATCGTCAGCGTGACAAGCAGGCACTTTGAGCACCCGTGGAGACTGCATGATTGATGTGTCGACCAAACCTTGTTGCTCCCCGGCGGCTGTATTGTGTCCGGGGTGTGGCCCTGCTGAATGCATGTCCTGTCACTAAAGAGGCTTTACTTCTATCACCTACGCACATGTGCGTGCACACTCACTGTTGGTCTAAGATATATCTATTCATTTCAGTCACTCAAAAGCAAACAAACAAACAGTGGCGATATCCACTCCTTCACGCTTGTTTTCTGTTGCCTTTACATGTTTTCCTTCTCTCTCTTCTGCCCGAGGACACGGTGAAGGAGCCTCACCAGTAAAGCTGCATCTCTGACATTCTGATCATTCTTCCTATTTTAACTCTTTCCAAGTGACCTCTTCCCTGCTTTTAAACAAACAACTAAACTGACGCTCACCTTGTGTGAGTGTGGTAGCATGCAATGTACATGCTACATAGACGTGTGAATGAAATATTTCCCCAGTTAGTCACAGGTGAACCTCACTTTAAAGTACAAATGAGTCCCCTTTACCTGACTTATGATTCACGTTTCATGCAGGTGATGTCAGGCATGACAAACCACCTAAAGGTGTTTACATTTGGCTCACCATAGGGAGTGTTTTATTTGACTTTTGTACAGGTTTGTTGGTTAACAGTTATCATAATGACTTTTCAATGTTTCATCACTTAACATAGCCTAATGTGTGTGTGTGATGTAAATAACACACATTTGATCAAGTGTTAAGTGTTAATTCATTTTTTATTTAATTGCAAAGCTTTAGATTCTTAATATATTTGATTGTGTAACATTTTTGTATTAAAATAATGTGGTGTAATGTAATTTAATATAAATATTCTTGTTAGTTAATAACTACAGTAGGGCTGCAACTTATAATTATTTTTTCATTATCAGTTCATCTGCTGATTGTTTTATTTTTAAAACAGTTATTTGTTTGGTTTATGGAAAGTAAGATAACATTGAAAAGTGCCCAAGGCGACTATTGAGATTGAATTATAAGACAAAGAAAAAGCCGCACATGTTCACATTTGAGAAGCTGGAAGTTTAAAACGTTTTGAGTTTCTGACTGTGTTTTTGAGACTGTACATGTTGATTACTGTTGCATGACTTCAGCTCTAAGAGGATTTATTACAAACATTCTGCAGTTTATATTGTTTACTTTACCAAATCAACTACGAATGTTTTTTGATAATAAGCTGCACATGGTTTGAAAAATGCAGGTTAAGGACAACAGTGATGATTGCACATCAAATTTGGTAAACTCTTTCAATCGAATGCAGCAGATGTATTAAATCATGTTTGAGAATCATCTTTTCAAAGGAAAACTATCATCCCCACAGCCCGGGTATGAACAGGTAGAATACCTTAGGTTTACCTCAGCAGTACTGGGATGCTTGGGGTCTAATTTGTGTGTTTTCGTCAGAAGAATATCTGAGGTAAACCATGTTAAAGAGATTCCAAGATTCTTGGTTCCTAGGAAAAGCTTCAACAAAAAGAAAGGAAAGCCCCATGTCTTCAAGAGTTGAAAGGGGATTGTCTGGTTGTTGTCTCGGGTCGCATAGGTCTTTTAAATCCATTTCCTTTGGCTGTAAATGTTCTGTCTTACATACATACCATGTTGTCAGCGTCTCAGTTTGAAGGTCAGCCTCTCAGACTCTACTGGGTTCAGGCTAACTTCATCTTCCCACATGATGAAGCAGAGGGCGACCTTGCTGTATTTGGTCCTATTTTTCCACAAGTTCTGCCAAGATTTTAAAGCCATACCTCAGCGGTTAAAGCACCAGGGTCATAAAGCAGTGGGCTGCCTGTAAAGTCTCCCATTTTACATCCTAATTGAGGTACTTAAGCTGACTGTATATGCCACAGTTGGTATTGTATAAAATAACATTGTCTCTCTCTTTCTATTTCTCTCTCCTGTCTATCAACTCTGTGTTTTTAGCTGATACGTCTTGGGAGTGATGCACTGGCTTCCCCTGGTTGCCATGGTGATTGCCTCGGCCCTGCCCTTTCCTCATAACCCCATGTCCAGGATTGCCGCCGCAACGAAACACAACCGTCATGACCAGGCTTCTCGCCTCGCAGTTCCCCCTGTGGACTACAACTTCCATGAAAATGTCTCACAAACGGACTACAACATGGCTGCTGCTCTAAGCCAACATACCAACAGACAAAACCTCCAAAACCGTAGGGATTATGTGAAATCCTCCTCAGATGAAGAGACTTCCACGTTCAAAGTGGAGCATCAAGAAACCTACGAATCGATTAGTAACTCAGGTAGCGATCACAAAAGCAGTGTGGATGTTCCCAAAGAAGGAGGACCACTCAGGACCGAGGATAACTCTCTACCAAAGGACTACAAAGCTGATATCAGCAGCAGGCAGGACTCCTCCAGGTTTGTAGACAAGACTGACAATATTCAGGACTCTACAGAACGGTTGTCGCTGGTTACTACAGCAGAAACCCATAAGGCCGTCAGTCCTGCTGCTCATCTACAGGATCAAAGAGGACCAGAACCAACTGTTCCCTCGGAGAAGCTGAGAGATCCACCTACAATCAGTACAGGAGGCTTGAACCTGGACGCAGAGCTGGGTCTGGGGATGGACAATATCTTAGATGAAGACGGGATGTTTCTGGACGCACACCCGCGAGTCCTGTTCTCCCCCTCCACGTCGCCTCCAGAACACCCCCCTCTCCTGCTCATGTTGGAGACCGGCCTGCTGGAGGAGGACGGGGACAGAGAAGAGCAGGAGGACGTGGACGGACACATCGAGGGTCACGGGGACCGGGCGATTGACAGGAGCACCCCTCCGAGTTGGGCAGATTCTTCCAGAGTTACCGAGGTTGACCGTTCTGTTAAAAGGGATAAACGCTCACACTCAATGGACAGAAGGCGAGGAGAAAAATCTGTGTGCGAGGCAGAGAGTGGTTGGGTTAATGACAAGAAAACTGCCATCGACACCCGTGGTCGTTTAGTCTCCATCTTGCAGGAGATCCAGACCCAGACTGGACCACTCAAACAGTACTTCTACGAGACCCGTTGTCGCGAGGCAGAGCAGTCCAGCAACAACGGCAGGTCGAATGCCGGCGTGGCACCAGTGGCAGTCGATACGGGCGAAGCCAGGCACGGCTGCTTTGGCGTGGATAGAAAAGCGTGGGTCAGTGAGTGCAAAGTCAAGCAGTCGTTCGTCAGAGCGCTCACCAAAGATGCTAACAACAGAATCGGATGGAGGTGGATCCGCATTGACTCGTCTTGCGTCTGTGTGCTGCTGGCCAGAGTCACGGAGGCTCCCAGGATTAAGAGGAGGAAGGGGAGAGGCTGAGAGTGGGGGGGGAGTTAAAAAGTGACACAAGGCAGAGTAGCTGTGAGACATCCTTTTGGGTTCATTTCCCTTAACATGATGGATTTCTCCTTCCCTCCACCACAACTTCACAAGACTTTTGAAAAAAACAAGAAGACCTCAATACTAGACCTTAGGGAAATGTTTCCTATATATAGAGAGAGAGATTTTACTTTAAAAAGTACTGTTTTTGTACGATTTTTATCTTTCATAATCTAAGTTATTTTTGATTAGTATGTAAGCATGTGTATGTCTTTGATATTAATATATTCCTTGATATTTGTGTACACTATGAAACCAGTATACCTTTATATATGACGCTATGTATATCTGTGTGTATTTATAGAAAAACTTGTGGTAGTCTCACCAGTGTCTGATGATAATTCCAGCCTCTGGGCCGCTCGGGTAGAGAGAGAGGAGCGCCACCTATTGAGGCTCCATTTTACCGCTCCCATTTGGATTACCATGATTGTGATACAGAAAGCCTCGTCAAACTTAAGCATGGTTTTATACAATGTTTTATGGCAGGAAACATCTCAGTGTGGAACTTGTTCAATGTGGTACATGAATGTAAAAACATGTGGTTTGTGAATTATCTGACACCAGGACAAGCTCATTTTAACATCTGCTGGTTTGTTCAGCTTGCCTGTAAAATGTGGTAATAAAGGATCTTTGTACTCAGCCGTTTATTGTCCAACAATGTAACTGATATATATGCAGATTTGAATTCTCAAAGCACAAAATATCAAAAGATATTGAGTAATAAATGTCAGTTATTTTACTGTTGTTATCTGACAATACCAGGCAGTTTTACAAATGACAGTAAAAGTATTCTGAGCTGTTACTCATGTCAAAGTAGCAAATCCATAATTTAGCTCCATTGCACGTAAAAGTAATGTATATTTTGTCTGCAAGTTCTAATGATTAGTGTTTATTAAACAAGAGCAATGCATAAAAAAACACACATCTCATAAAGAGAGGAAACTATTTGTCGGATTTAGCTATTAGCTAATTTCCATCTGCATTAAAAATAAATATAATGTTGTAAAAATAAATGTATAAAGTACAATATTTGCCTCACAAAAAAATATAGTAGAAAAGTGAAAAAGGTATCTATAATTCAGAAATAAATGAGTAAATAACTGGGTAAATGTAGTTATACTAAGCGCTATACTGAGGAGACTATGATCAGAAGAGAAAGAAAAACAAAAGTGGGGGGGGGGTGAAAATGGAGAAAGTTTGCGATTATCAGCATACCCACTTGGATCGCTTTATTTTCTGTTTTCTTTACATCACCATTTTCATCATCATTATTATTTATTTTTCAGATGATATTTTCAATTTGTATTACTATCACTTTTATCATGGAAATCTGTTAAATCATTGCACAATTTGTTCTCAAAATGTACACATACAGTAGCGTATTTGAATGACCATTTTCAATGTTTCATATTTACTTTTAAAACTAGTTCAAATGAAGCCAAGAAGGAACAGAACATATACATACAATTATCCAATACATACCTAAAGAAAATAAATAGATATCGTAAAAAATAATAAATACAACTGAAAAAAATACACACATTTTACAAATTGATCCCCAGGCTCCCAATCCCCATAGGTTTATCATACAGATATATATTTTTTAAAGACACCTCATATCATCTTCACCACCAAAAAAAAAGATTTTAGGTCATTGTCATTTGTTTGACATGCATCGTAAACACAGAGGCTAAAGGTTTTGTTTCCCGGGCTTCCTCGCCCTCTCTCCCTGCCTCTCTCTGATCTCACCCCCCAGAGAGCTCTTGGTATCTGTTATGGCTTGTGTGTGCAGTAAAATGACCGGCTTCTGTCCACCCTTTCAGTTTTGTTCTCTCCTCGCTGTGAGCCGCTGTTTTGTCTCTCTGCACCTCTCTCATCATCAGGAATACCCAAGACCCTGAGCTGATGATTACAAGTCATGAAGCACCCAAACCCATCGTGGGGGGGAAAGTGAGGAGTTTCAAATGTGACCCCAATGTCATGCCTTCCTCAATAGTTGTAACACTTTGGTACCACTTTTTAATAAGAATATACTTTATTAACATCATTAATTAATGTCAGGATAATTGTGTTCTTATAGTCAATTATTTTGAGGCCGGGTATAAAATAATGCATAGCTAGTGAAAACCTAACTTTTTAGCTACCTCTTCAATCAATGTATTAACAAATATTATAATTTTAAACTCCAAATAGCACATTATATGTGATGCAATAACCCTTTATGACTGGCTAAAGCTGCATCTTACACCACAGATCTAATGTCTCATTAAGTCAGAATAATTGTGACTGTTTGACAAGCAGTTCCTCGTACTAATCTACCAAACTCTGCAGTAATAAATGTTAATAAGCGCCTCATACTTTACCAAGGTACTAATGTATGTGATAGTGATCTAATAATTATACGTGAAGGAGGTGCCCAACCCTTTTAGTATTGCACAAAAAGCATCACGGGGCTCAGATATCCTGACTTTTTACTCCCTAGTGAGTGAATCCTACAATCCCCTTGAAGCAGAGCAGTAAAGAAAATGTGCAGATGGCCCCTTTAAAAGTTATGAAGTCTTTGTAAAGTACGCCTTTTCAGAAAGTGGTACCAGGACTAACTTTATGGATTTCCTTCCATCGTTATCATGAACACAATGCCTCTATGGCCTCGCTCCACCCTGTCCCATCCACCCCTGCCTTTGATCTCCGTAATGGGGTCCCTTCAAAAGAGATCGGCTTTCAAGGTGCCAATAGACAAAGCATGAGGAGGGTCCCTGTGATGTAGTCGGAGCAGAACAGTCTGAACTCGGACTTGTTTTACTACACCACTGCAACCAAGTGGGGACACTCAGACCCCCCTGACGGGCCCATAGAATCGTACAAAAGAGCCTACATAGCCGATACTGGACACCATGAGCAGACATGAGAACACCGGTGTTGTTTAGAGTTAAAACCGGTTCATCCCGTGATTCCCCTCAATCAGTTTACAATTTTAAATTGAATCTAAACTTTATGGTGAGGTTAACTTCTGCCCCCGGTCTCATTAAAGACACCGGTTGTTAAGCAGAAGTTATAAGGCGACATGTTTAGTTGTTGTTTCAAACTGTAAGAGGATCAATGGCAGCAAGTAGTGGTTTCCTCTGAAGGTAGGAAAATGAGCCCTGATGTTGCCAACTCTGCTGACTGTGTGCAGACTCCAACCGGAATGAAAAGAGGGGGAAACATGCACAACCGGCACAAACTGAACCAACACCGGTGTTTTACCTCGATTACTAACCCACAGTCACATTTAGAGAGGTAGAGCAAAGACAGAATGACAGGAAGAGAGAGACAGAGAGAGAAAACAGCTGATCCCATTCAACCTACCAAGTCTGGTCGGAAAATACATTCATACATTCTTCATGTCATTTTCCCCTTTATTCCTTTGCTTATGTTATTGCAGAATGGTCAGACCGATAGTTTTATTTTTAAGTTAAATGGTTATATTCATTGCTTCGTTCTCCGTGGATGAGCGAGAGGCTCCTCTAGTCCCAATCCAGTCAGCGCCCTGAGGAAAGAAACAGCATTATTCCCGCATCATTGCATCCCTGGCCTAAATCCCTACCAACAAAACCCACCACCTAAAGATCTTAGTGGGACAAACTACTAAAATCCCACGCTCAAACCAATCAACTATAACAAACAAATACATAAAACGATCAGAATGAAGGAAATGTGCATGGCATATGTGAAAACATCTTGGAATCTCAAGTGTTTTGCCTCAACACACAGATAAAACCGTGAGGATTAAACACTAGGCAGTAAAAGTGAAGTGCTCTCACCTCAGCCCCTCAACAGGAGTACGTCCTCACTGAGGCAGATTCACCCCGGGCAGCAGAGCTGGCTGTGTTATAGACCGGGAAACAAACACAGAAGGGGTCATTATTGTAACATCAATGCCTCAAACAGCACTGACCTTCCACAGGCATTCCTATTAAGAAGTGGAATGGAGGATAATAGTCTTCCTCTGTACTTTAAAGCATCTGTTCCTTGTTATTGCCTGCTCCTCTGCTAAAGAAAAGAGAAAATACAAACTAATGGCAGAGTAGCGCAAAAACAACCAACTGCTGTGTGCATGTGACTCTTTGCAGCTTATATAACATGAGTGAAAAAAACATGTTTAACAGTCTGATGAGCGTTATCCGACCTTGCAAAGTAAAGCAATGTGGTTCCTCGACTACAACAAAAAACCATAAATGTCTTTTGTAATCTGTGACCTTGATTTTCTTTCTTTCTGAATATTAACCCCCTCCCAAGGGCTCGAGATTGGAACAAATGTATTTACAAAGTTGTACCTGATGAGCCCTGGAGCCTCGCTACAACAGACCGTTCGCCCTGATTCCTGTCATGCTCTGCCTGTGAGTAAAGCCGTATAGAATAACAGGTCTTCACACATAGTCTAAATTGAGATGGGCCTCAAGGGCTCATAGGAGCCACACAAATGTGAATATGAGAGCGAAGGTGTCAGAGGTGAGGGGTCGTACTCACCATCACTCTGAACCTTTCTCAGGGTGACGGAGGGCGTGGAAATGGCTGAGGCACGGAAGTTAGCAGGCAGGGTCTCAGCGGAGTCGGAGGTCACGCCCCGAAGGTCTGTCTCTCTAAACATCTTCCTCCAGGAGGGCGAGCGGCTGAACGTCTTCACTCCATCCTGCCAAACAGACAAGTGTGTGAACAAAAAGATGGCCGCCCAGACAATCCTTTACTTCTTACGTTATATCTGCTATCATGCTGACCTCATCAGGTCGTCTTTCGGTTCCCATGGCGAGGAGTGAGTTGTACTCTTGCTCCAGGAGCTGTCGGGCCTGCAGGGGAAACGTGATGCAGAGCTTTGAGATTCATTTGGACTACAGATGACACATTTTCAGGAGCGGTGTGCTTTGCTGCCATTCATTAATCCGGGCTTAGCACCTCTCTATGTTTCCTGGCTCTTAAATATATAAAAAAATCCAATAGATCCATTTTACGAAGGAGGTCTCTGCACTAACGCCTCTTCATTAACCCATTACCTGTGTGCTCTGGTTGGGAATCTGCAGCAGCAGGGCCAGGTCAGTGAAGTCGAAGGTGTCGTCTAAAGCCAGCAGAGCCCCATGGATGCCGCTCTCACGCAGGTTGTCGCCGTACTCCTTCAGACCGATGTTCTGCACCCAGCACATCACACGCTCATTCGACCACACCATCACATCTGGGAGGGGAGAAGGAGAAGGTGAAGACATGGAGAAGAAGCATCTATCTGCAAACAACAATCTGTCCACGTGTCGTTTCTTAATATTCAGCTCACTTCCTGAACTTCTAGATAAATGAAACCGACAAATGTCTATTAAGCGTATAAAATGGAGAAGGTTAAATGACCGTACTGATGAGAGATCAAGAGTAATAGGGAAATCTTCCTGCTTTACTGATTTATTCTCAAACTTGTCATAGACAAATTCAAAACTCACAAATTCCCTCACTTGGGGAATTCTTCTGTGAGGAAATCAGCCAAGACTAACTCGCTGTAAATGTACAACACGTGTATCCCAAGGCACAGCAGTGGGAGAGGGAGTGTTCTGGGTTTGTTTAATGACTGAACATGAGGATTTTTTTGCATTTGCAATGTTTATCCAGCTACATTTAATTAGAGAGAGGCCATTTATAAACTATTCTAAGTTAAAGCAGAGGATGTAGTAACCAATGGGTGGTCCGAACACCTCTCAGCAGCATGTTAGAATGCACAAATCAAAGAAAAGGTGTTTTGTGATTGCCACTTTTTAAATATTGTTTGTATTTTTGTATACCTTTATTTCCTGTGTTAGAGCTAATGTAAGAAAGTAAGTGGTTCTGGGGCTTTAATTAGTTACTACTTGTGACATACTTGTAAGAGTTGCGTTGAAGCAAATGGCACTGCTGCCACTATTCATACTTGAATAAAATAACCCACAATCTGGTGTAAAGCAAGTTGAAGTGAGGCCGACAAAACTGTTAACGATCTAGCGCTTCCAATGAAAAGTTGTAAACTGCAGGTCTAAATACTGTATATGATTGAATTCTTGGTATTTCACTTTTTATTCTCACTTGCAGAGCATTACAAATGTTAATTGCATTAAACTTAACCAGGATAAAACCAAAAGTTGTATAGCTTCTAGTGCAATTACTTTTAATCTTGCTATAACTGCACTGTCTTTAATACTATACTAACCAAATCTTAGCTTAATTAGTTATTTAGAACAGATTATCATATAATGAAAATGTGCTTTATAACAAAATCAGTTGTTGGCAGTGTAACGATGTTAAAAAGTTCTGTTCGTGTCTGATAACTATAATATGTATTTTGTATTTTAAGTCCATATGAGCAAGGTGTTGCTGCATGGCACACAAATGAACCTTGGAAATAAAGGAACTGATGAACAAATAAATAATTGAAGCGAATATAAATGAATGGGTTTGTATAGTCTGCTTTAGATATGCTTTGAACAAGGCAATAGCACAACCTGAATAGAGGAATTAGTTGGTTGGACACGGTCATAGAGACATACAATACCATGAGTAAGGAGATAATGGCAGAGACAAAAAGAGCTCACCTTTGTTCTGGTGGACGCTCTCCTCCCTCCTCCTCTCCAGCTCCTTGCGATCGTAGTTCAGTCGCTTCAGGCACATGATGCCGTAATGCAAACTGACCCTGGGAGAGGTGGAAGAGCCAGAGGGTCAGAGCAGGTTAACTGAGGGCGTGTATCCACTCTCGTCTCTACTCAAAAGGCATTAACACAATCCGATACCTTTGACCCCGGGACTTTTTTTCAAGAGAACTTAAAAGAGGGCCTGGCGACACACACCTGAGCAGTGAGAGCGTCACAACAACAACTATCCCTACACGTATTTTAGCAACGTCACGCAGCCACAGAGAAAGACAGTCATCGTTTGTTTAT